GCGTGCGTGCGTGCATGCGTGCGTGTACACGATGACCTTTCGCAGGAGTGCATGGGCTATAGGTTGCGCTGGCTTGTTCGGGACGACCTTTACACTTAGGAATCGCATACCGTATACTCTAAAACTTCGTCGATGGTAGCCTCTTTGAGGTAGAGTTACTGCCGCTACAAGAGCTTGCGCATGCAGTATTTCCTTGTGACATATTCGAGATTGTTCGAGTGCAGAGCCGCCCGAGTCCCAGGAGCTTGGAGTCGAGCCTTGGCCTCCAGGGGCCCCGCGGGCTGTACTCAGCACTCGTAGCTTCCACTTGGGATTCTCAGTCTCCCTCCCTTCTTTGCTTATACCTATATGTGCCTTCCCCAGTGCCCTTTTCGAGAACGACGAACGCAAACAGTTGAAACAAGTTAGAGTCAGAGCAAATGATGGCAGCCGCAGAAGTCCATACTATGCTGCTTCCCACTAGTTCACATTAGTTCACCAGTACGCCTGGCAAGACTGGCTATGACTCGCTTGAGGCAGACCCGGCACACAGTACTCACACAGTGCAGTCCATTGGCCTTGGGTGCAGAAGGACTCGGGCTTGTCCTGCTCATCCTGTCAACAGGATGCACTGAGATGGACTTGGAGTCGCGACTGCCAGAAAAGCGAGAGTGCGGCTCCAAAGCTTTATTGGTCGAAGAACAATCCTAATCTCTCTCGAGTCCTGGATGAGGGAGACTCCGAGGCCTTGGACACAGCATGGTCAACGTGTCTATGCTCGTCGCAGGCAGTGACTCTGCTACAGCGCAGGTGCCTTGTCTCTCGACGCCTTCGCCTCCAGCCAGCAATCAACAGTTCTGCAGTGTCTTCCTGATCACCACCTTACACTTCAAACCTTGAGCAAAAAGCTAACTGCCGTGAGTAATGCAGTCACGAGATGCAGCTGCCTTGGCCTTTGGAGTTGTTGCGGCCTTGGCTCGTGCCTGCGCGCTGTTTGGCTCGAGGCTCGGATTTCCGGCAACGTTTGAGACTCACCTCTGCTTGCATTCGAGCGAAGCTTTCGGCACGCGCTGGCGGAGCCTGGCTTGGCAGGGGCGCTTGGATGCACTTCGAATGTGTGCCCGCCCGAGACTCTGCTCCAGCCTTCTGCTTCGGATTGCTCGAGCCTGCTTGGACTACCTCGGGAAGTTGGATTAACTCTGCCGTTGCATGGCTCCGATATGCGACTTGTTGTACACAGTGCTGTTCAAACCACGTGCTTAGGCTCCCACCAGAGACTGCAAAACAACTCCTACGTTTTCATGCGTTTTATCTGATGCCTTTTCCGCGTCGCATGTCCACCGCTTCCGTGAAGAAGCTTCCACGACACGAAGCTCGCCCGGGCAGTCATGTAGGGAAGGCAATGACTTCGCAAGTGTGTTGTTTAAAGTGACAGTAAATTGTTGGAACAGGCAGGCTCGGGAGGGTAGGAGAGCGCAGACAGTTAATTTGCAAACGAATGATTCTAACAGCAAACTTTAATGGTCTCTATAGGCCTAGGACGTGAACCCTATACGCTGTTGCAGAGATCTTACTTGCAAATGATTTCGTAGAGCCAGGAACCTTGAATCCTAAATGCTACCACACAAGGGCTGAGGTTTTCTTCGCCAGAGTCTCCCTTCAGAAGTCTAGAGACTGATCGGAGCGATCAGATTTTTCATGGCTCGGGTGCTGGACCTTGTTTTGGGTTCCAGGCTGTAAGGCGAAGAACGCTGTCGGTTTCTTTGTTCCCATTGCTTTCGGTTCAGACAAATTCATACCAATAAATAACGATTCATGCTAATAAGAAGAACACTAATATGTTCTACATAGAAAAATAAGAAGAAACTTGACACTGATATCCGATACGAAGAAGTATGGCATAAATAAATCAAACAAGAAAGTCGACTGCGTAGTACAAGTGAATACGCAAGAAGAGAGCTGACACTATGTTTCTGGGCAAGGGCTAATCAGAAGGATGTTACTCCGCCACCTCCTCCACCACTACCACTACCACTACCACTACCACTACCACTACCGCCGCCTCTACCACTGCCACTACCACGACCGCGACAACCACACCACCAGCATCACCACTACGACCACTACAACCCGTGCGACCACTACGACCGTTACGACCACTACGAGTGCTGCGACTCCTACGGGCCACCACTACCACTACCACTACTGCTGCTACTACCACAACAACAACAACAACAACAGCAACAACTACTACTACTACTACTACTACTACTACTACTACTACTACTACTACTAGTGGTACTACTGCTACTACTACGACTGCTCCTACTGCTA